TGTAGCTAGTGAATTTGAGTTGAGCTAAAATGCCTAATTACATGCCTAGTGCATTGGAGTTGAAAAAAGTGAGTCATACTAGGCATTTTACCTAACAAGCATTATATGCCTAGTGCATTGGAGATGCTTATCCCCAAGTTTTTGAAAAAAATTAACTGGTTGTTCTTTTATATCTATGAAATATGAATGTCGAATTATTAAATTAAAAAATTTGGATGAAATATAATAAAAGAAATTAGTTTCTCATATCCAGTATTAACTCTAAGCATAAGTTTGCTGAAAATTAGGTGGAGGAGGATTTTGCAAATTATTTAATCACATTTATTGAAAAAGATATTGTTCAGAATTTTAATATTGATTTTATTGCTTTTTATAACATGGAAGATCATAGAGCACAAGTCAAGATGCTCAAGTTTAGTAGATAGATTATCATATAATTATTAACTTTATTGTAGGTAGGATCGTAAGTAAGATTGTAGATTTTGTGATTTTTCACCTTGTTTTTAATATGTATCATTCTAATTTATATTTTTAACTTTTTTAAATAGAAAGTACGATCTTATAATCCTCAATCCGATCTTACGTTCCGATCCACGAGACCCTTTCACCGATCCTATCTAAGATCCCGATGTTAACAACCTTGAATGGAGGTGTCGAGGCTCCAGGAGGTGGTTGTTGAAACTAATTGAACTACCCTTTGGTTTTGTTCAGTATATTTTACAAGGAACCAAATGGTTTTTCTCTTTCTTTAGAGTATTTTGTTTGTTTCCACCTATTTTTTTGCCAAATGTGATTTCATGCTATAAAAAAATTGAACTGAATCATTGAGTTTCAAAAAAATTGTTTATTTCTATATATTTTTAGCCCACGTAGAAAACTTGAAGTGAAGTATAAAATGGACATAGACAGTCAAGATTATGGTTAAGTTTGCTAGCCTTTTCTCCATTTAGTGATATCCTACCCTCCTCGACTCTTTCCTTCAGTTTCCATGGGAATGCCTACTCAAGAACATAATTGATATTTTTCTATGCATGAGTCATCTTGATTTGTGATTCATGTAAGGCGCCATTGTTTTAACCAAAGGAGGAGATTACACCACAAATGGAGCCTGAAGTTTTAAGCATCATTTAAGGTGCCACTGTTTCTAGTGTAAAGCACATATCATGTTGGTGTTTTAAATGAATTTACTGTAGTACCAATAAATAAATAAATACATGCACATGCACAGTAAGTGAATTATTTTGTTGGTTTGTCAAGCTTGCATTTTGTTTTGGGATTGCATGCCAAAGAAAAGACTATTCAAATAGGGTAAAAACAATAGGAAAGAAGTGTTCTTATATTTGTAGCAAATCATAAATTGAGTGGTGGCAGCACACAGTTTCTTTATTTATTTATCTTGAAAATTCATTACAAGAAATTGAGAGGCTTGGTGTTGACTTGATATTTTCCTGTTTCAGGTTGGAGATGAATCTGGGAAGGCAAAGACGGCTCCAATGAAAGCAAAAATCCAGTTCATGCTGCAAGTGCCGCAAGATGATATTAAATCATCGGCCTTGATGTTCCGTGTGAAAAAGAGGTGGGATATTTGAGTCTGTTCACTTGCCTAATGGCTCCTTTGTTCTCTCTGATGTAGCATCGGCGGGACAATTGTTGTAATGATAACATTTCCCTGAGAAACAAGGATATATGTCTGGCCTATAAATTAATTTACATCTCAAAAGTATTTTTTTAGGTTACAGTTTAATACCAACTTAATATAGAAGGCTGGATAATTGGGTCGCATTAACAGATATCAAAGAACGTCTGGATTGTCATTGTTGGATCTGTTAATTTCGGATTTGGATTCAGAATGGGATTTTTTGAATCCTGTCTGAATCTAATCCATTGACATGCAAAATCTAGGTTTTCATTCACTGTTGGTGTGCAATTTATGTATAAAAAAAATTCAAATTCAAATTTAAAAAAGTGATGTTTTACAGAGAACTCAGAGTAGGTTGATATAAAAATACCATGAGATCAATTGTGAGACTGAAAACGATGTACACAGAAAAACCGACCGTGTTAAATGGCTCTAAGAATGTTGCAGTGTTGTGTTTCTTCAATGGGTTTTCTAGGGTAGGATAGTTTTTGTATTGTAACTGAATGACATTAATATTTAATTTTGTTTTAGAATGAATGTAAGACATTTTGTTTTAAGTTGTAATAGTTATTACATATTCCAATT